GGCACCCCTGGTCAAGGCGGGGGTTCCTTCCTTCCTTCCTTCCTTCCTTCCTTCCTTCCTTCCTTCCTTCCTTCTCTTAATTCTAAAGGCACAGCACTCCTTTGGGAACAGGGAAAAGTCTGATAATATTAGCATCTATCATGTTACTGGACCTGCATTTAAGGAACTTTTAAAATTGCATCAGAAATTTTTTTTGGCAAAGGAACAAAAGAAAACGAGCCACCGTCTGCTCACAGTTTCTGTGGACGTCTTTGAACCCTTCATCCGAGCTGCTTTTGCTGGGCTCCTTCCAGACTCGCTTTGGAGGAAGGCATCCGTGCACTGCCTACTCGTTCCTCTCTTGGCCAGGGTCTTTTCTGATGGGCTTGTTTGCTTTAAGGGCCCGCCTACCCCTTTAGAAGAGGAGCATCCTTGCTTCCCAACCAGGTGTCCCATCCACGGCCTGCATTTGCTGTGAACAAGGAGGGGTCTCTCTCTCTCTCTCTCTCTCTCTCTCTTTTTTTTTTTTTTTTTAAACTCTGGGCTCCCCCCAGGGGAGAAGCAAGCCGGCCTGCCCCCCCCTCTGGGGTGCCCATTCCCAATGCCTCTAGGCTCCCGGGAAGAAGGTTCCTTTGCCTTCTTCCCGGGAGTAGGGAAAAGGTGGGTGGGTGGGAAACCAGGCCAGGCGCTAAGGGGAATCAGCGGGGCAGGCCCCCTCATGTGCTACAACTCAACGAGGGCTGGCCAGAGCCTGGGGCTGCTTAAGGGTCCCTCTTGCCCGGTTCGGTCTTGCGAGAGTAATCGCGCTCTCCAGCAGAAAAGCTGCCCAGCCTAATCCCATGGTTGGCATCCAGCACGTTGGGCAAAGCTGGTCAGCATCCTCATGGGACGTGTGTTCTTTTCCATTCTCCTGTTTGAAAGTAATCCTGGTTCCCCACCTCCACACCTCCATGGCAAGGATGATCCTGTTAATTCCTCAACTGGCAGAGGAATTAAAGGAAGGGAGCCAGAAATCCTCGTGGCAGAGCTTGGAAAGGGTCTTTTTTTTTTTCATTGTTCTTATTTTTTGGACTACAACCCCCAGAATCCCCAGAACATTGTTCCAGCTGTCCAGCCCCATCCCCACGGGGAAGGGGGTTCTGCCAGAGCCAAGAACAGCCGGGGTGTCTTCCTTCGGCTTGGCCTTTGGCCAGAGCCCCCGGGGGGGGAGGGGGGGTTGGACAGCTCTCGCTAATTAGCCGGCCTTCCGTCCGTCCGTCTTCGGAGCCCTTTTGGACGGCTCCCGACTTCTTTATCCTGGTTTAAATCTCCGGAGAGGCTAAGGAGATAGGCTTACCTGGGAGCAAGTCAGGGGGCTGTGGAGCCTTTTGCCTGCAGGGCTACCCTTCCCGCCGTGGGAGAAGGGGGCTGGGAGACTGGGGTGGGGGGAGATGAAGCAGCAGGAGGGGCCCTGTCACGCTTGGGTCCTTCCTCTTGAGGTGGGGGGGCAGAGGCCGAGGAAGTTACTTTTTGTACCAGGGCAGCAGGAGGGAAGAAGGCGGCCTGCCAGCTCTTAGAGAGAGTGGCTTTTGTCTCCAAAAAGGGCTGGAGGAGTGTTGGTGGAGAGGCTGGGCTGGCCCGTTCCCGCCCTGCAGGGAAGGGCAGGAGAAAAAGACCCAAGTGGGGGGGGGCTTTTGCCCACAAGGAGGAAGTTCCCCTTGTTGCGGCCCTTGTTGTGGTTCCAAGCAGAGGTGAGGGGAGGGAGACCTGGAAGCCCACCCCACTTTCCAGTCTGGAGCAGACCTTGCAAAAGTTGGCCAGGGGCTCCCGGAAGAACCTCCAGGCTGGTTTGAAGTCAGGATCCCCTTTTCAGTCCACCTTCCCTAACTGGTGGCTCCTCCGTGGTCCACAGGGGCCATCCGTCGCCTCGGACTGGGGCTGGTGGGAGAGACATACGGGGGGGGGGCACGTCCCTGTTCCTTCTGTCCTCTGCCGCAACTCCCTTCCTGCATTCTTGGGCAGAGAGCTGCCGAGCCCGAACCTGCCAACCGACCCTCAGGGGTTTGAGGGCTTCAGACCGCTGAGCGCCCTTTGAAGCCTGCTCCTCACACCCCCACACACACACCCCACACACCCCCACACACACACATCAAACCCCATCCTGGTTGGCCTTCAGTCTTGTGAAATGAGAGGAGGGTGCCTTTTTCGGCTGATGTGCTCGACCCATGAGGGCGAGGGCATGCCAGACTGGAACACGAAACGCTGTGAGCGTGAGACAGCACAATTTCCCACCACCGCCAGACGCTCCAAATGCCCCGCCTGTGGTGCTGGAAGGGGGATGTCCACACACACACACACACACACACACACGCACACGCACACGCACACACACACACACACACACGCACACACATCAGCCACTCGCCCACCTGCCCATCCCCGGGAACCCCAGGCCAGAGGCTCCGCTGTAACTTGTTGTGTTGGCTTTGGTTAATTTTACGGCTGTGCGTGGGCAGAGGAGTGGATCCGCCTGGCGCCCTGGCGTGGGCATGCTGTCAAGCAGCTGTTCTGTCCTGGGGGCCTGTGTGGTTAGCTGGTTTCATGAAGAAGAGGGTGGTGTGATTGGGGTCGGGGGGGGAGAGGAGCACCCTTGCCAACGTAGGAGCCCATTTTGGAATGTGGGGAGTGCCCAGGAAGGGGGGGGGCTGCACCCACCAAGCGGGGCTGGATTCTGTGGCTAATCCAAGACCGGCTTCCTCTGGCGCCTTCCCTTCAGGGATCCGTTTGTGTCTTGACTTGTGTGCAACTTGTGGTGTATTTCATTTAATTTGGAGAAGCTCGTAGCTATGTAGAACAACAATAATAAAACACAGAAATTAATGCCCTTTTTTTGTCCGAAATTAAGCGGGCTGCCCGAGCAAGATCAGAGCCGCTGTACTGACACCCATGGAGTGGAGCAAAGGCTGGAGGGCCCCATTCATGAAAGCCTCCTTGCGTGGCTCTTTGGGGGAGCTCTTTCCTCTCTCCTCTCTCTCTCTCCCTCTGCATAGGCCTTCCTCCCGTCACCCCGGTCCCCCATTTTGTCCCCCCCTCCCCTCGTTGTGAGTCACTGGAATGCCAGGGTTTGGGAAAGGGCGAAGAGCCTCCCCTCGGGCTTGGCCGGTCAGGGAGAAGCATGCATGTGATCGGCTCTCCCAAGCTCTGAGCGCCCTAAGACGAGTCACATGCAAGGCAGCCGGGCGGTCAGGGGCTCCTGCGGCCCTTCCCAGACCCCCCTCTGTGCTCCTTCTTGCCCCCCCTTTCCCAGGCTCCATCTTCCAAAGGGAGCTGGGGAAACCAGGCCCCACCCTGGCCCCCTCCCAGATCAAAAGGACCAGACTGTTTATACTGTGACTGCCCTGGAAGCAAAATAAACAGGGCAAGTGTCCTGTGGAGACCACCTTCAAGAGAGAAGCCAGAGCCCCCCCCCCAAAAAAAACGCACACACATTAACATCTGTTTTTCCCTGGGCGGTTTCCATTCACCAGGAGAGTTCCTGTTTTGCATTTGTGTTCTTGGGGGGGGTGTCTTCCCACCCTTTGTGGAGACGTGAAGACTTGAGGGTTTCTCTCTCAACACCACCGTCATGTCTTCCCTGAGTGGGAATAAGGCTGGGTGCTTTGCTCTCTCTTTCTCTCTCTTGTGCATCTCTCTCTCTCTCTCTCTCTCTCTCTCTCTCTCTCTCTCTCTCTCTCTGTGTGTGTGTGTGTTGGTCTGGAACTCTGGCAGGAACTCCTCCTGTGCTTCTGAGTTTTCTGGAGTTCTTGTTTTGGGAACCCCACGGCTGCTGTTTGGAGCCAAGGCTGGGGCGCGGCAAGAAGCCGACCCTCTGTCAGGACTGGCCACCCTGTGGGT